ATTAACTCATACTATTTTAATAATCTTAAAAAGTCGTAACTTACTCAGTTTATTAATTACTTAATTTGTCTGGATTTTACAAGACTTATGGAGATTTCAAACATAAGATTAATTTCCTAGATTTATTTTAAATTTGGTAATTTTAAAAGGTCTTAATTTTATTTTTTTAAAAAAAATCTTAAAATGTCACTCAAAATCACAATTAGATACACCTTTTCAGTAATTTAATATATGAGTTAATTCAATCTATAAAAAATGTAATATATAAGTTTAAAGTTATAGTTATTTTTTACATAATTAATAATTAATTGAAGATTATATATATTTTCAGGTGGTCACTTATAGCTGGGAGATTGCCAGGAAGAACAGATAACGAAATTAAAAACTACTGGAACACACACATCAGGAGAAAACTCATGAGCCGGGGGATCGACCCAACAACTCACAGGCCCATCAACGAGCCCAACACTTCACCGTCTTCACGAGACGCCGCCACGAACATATCATTCTCGGGCCCAAGCCCAAAGGCGGAGGAGAGGGTCAAAAGCCCTTGTAGAAGCCCGGGCAGTCCGGTTAGAGAATTGCGGTGCCCCGACTTGAACCTGGAGCTCCGGATTAGCCCACCGTACCAGCTGCCAAAGCAAGAGCCGTTAAAAACCGCCGGTTTAAAAAATGAAAGTGATTACGACGGCAAAAGTGATTCTGTTAATTTAGTTAACGGCGGCAAAAGTAACGGCGGTTATGATTTTCTGGGGCTGAGGAGTGGAGTTTTGGACTATAGAAGCTTGGAGATGAAATGAGGTGATGATTATTGGAATTCGATGTGGGATAATAATATTTATTTTATTTTGGTTTTATTATTATGTGTAATAATTAAATTCATCAATATTGGTAAAAAAATGTGAAGGGGAGGGGCAATTAGTAGCACTAGACGTTCCTCTATTTCTAAAAATACTCTTGTACAAAATTAAAAAATTAATGAGTATTTTTTTGACATAGTAATTTACTCAATTTCAAGTTGGATAGAATTAAAGTGTTAGATAAATATGTATAACAATTTATAGAACAAATAGTTATGGACAATATGAGAGGACCTTACAAAGTTACAATAGTATATGTTTTTTTTACTATTGGTTCACTATTCAATCCTATTTTTTGGAAAAAAAAAATTAAATACATATGCATGTAAACGCCCTAACTGTTTGAGAACAAAGTCTCATTCAATTACGTTCGTGTTTGACAAAAATTCGTTCAGATATAAGAAACAGATGGGCCGAAAGGAAAACCGACCTTTCCAATGGCATGAAGACCGACTTCTCAGAAGAACCGAGGTCAAGACATATATAAGAAACAGATGGGATGCCTATCAATCAGCCGCCCATATCTTCTCATTACTTGTAGGACCGTTTGCAGACTAGTCGTATCTACGTTGTCCATTCACATTTAACGACGTCGAACCATGCAACCTCGAATAACGAGTCTGAAATTACTATAAATAACACATTTAGTTCTATACGAGGATCTTTTTCATATGAAGACACTCGGTTCTCATTGAAATCGACTTGTTGTACTAAAAATCCGAATTCTATATAATAAAAATTATACAAATTTACTTCTTCTTAATAGCTTATTAGCCCTATAATTATAGTTGCTATATTTCATATAACAACACACCACTATACGCATCCATACATGGTGCTTAAAATCGATT